GTTTTCCGTTGTGGATCACTTGACATGTGTCGTTGTCGTACAACTGTTGAATAAGGTTGATGAATATTTGGAGTACGCCGTAGTACTTGAGTAGTTTCCAAATTACTTCGCGGTCAACGCTGTCGAAGGCCTTCTCAAAGTCTATGAAGTTGAGGTAGAGATTTGATTGCCATTCCATGCTTTGTTCGCCTAGATTACTAGCTCACTAGTTTTCTAGCCGGTCCTAAGCCCGGATAAAGAGAGAGGGTTGCTAGCAACTCCACCTCCAAAACTTAACTAAGCTGCTACGAAAACTTCAACGCACAAATATATTAAAAGATAAACCTTGCAAAAGAAGATTATAAGAAGCATCCATTTGTAATGCTGAACATTTATCTGATTGGTTGGTTCAAATTCATTCACCTGTGATGTCTATTTTTTGCATCACCAGCTTTCTATTTCAATTAAATGACATCCATCTGGAATAAATCTGTCTTAATAAATGTCATGGAAGTGGCTGACAGAAGTGAAATGTATTTTTCAATACAAAAGTTTGGCACATGAAGACCAATCAAACTAATATGTTCACAGCTGGAATCCATCACCTCCTAGTTCATCCAAGGCAACTAACTAGGTAGTATCAGTTAGCTTTCACAAAGTAGATGTGGCTTCATAGGTTAAAAAGTTAAATTTTAAGGCAACTGAATTCTAAATGAGGACATTTATTCCATTTGAAGGTGAATAATAAAATATGCAGCCCTGACACTGTGGAAGATGAGTTATATCTTTTGAGGAAAATCCTAATAGAAAATGGATTTCCACCGCGTTTTATAGATAAGAATATACATTCAAATCCTGTAAAACGTGACTTATCATCCGTACCCAAGAAAATACTTTACATGAGCTTGGAATTCAAAGGGGACTTAGCTTCCGATATCATGTAAAGAAGGATATCACAGTCCCTGAAAAGAACATTCCCTCCTGCATCTTGGAGAAAAGCTTTTGACAGTCGACCATTACTGTTCAATAACCTGAAGGACAAAATCCCGCTGTTGACCAACTCTATGTGTGTTTATCAATTCACCTGCTCGTGTGGAGCTAGGTATATCCGTCGTTCGACTCGAGTTTTATCCAAGAGGGTGCAAGAACACTATCCTGCATGGTTAAGAAAAGGTGGAAGTGGAGCAATAAGAAACGCGATCATTGAACATCTGGTCGATAACGACCACCCTATCTCTATAACCTCCGCCTTCAAAGTCATCTATAAGGCAAAGAGTAATTTACCCAAATCCCTACGTACCCGACTCATCTGTATTGCTGAAAATTTGGCTGTCGAAACAGAAAAGCCAGATCTCTGTGTACAGAAAAAGTTCGTTCAACCCCTCGAACTTTGATGGTCTTAATCCTTCTATGCTAAAGTATGGTAATCCCCAATCATATTTTGGCTCTAACAATTATTGATTTTTTTTCATTTTGTCTATTCAATTGTCTATTCTACTGTTACTATTACCACTCTCACTTTGAACTGTCCCCGGTATTTTTTTCACTTGTTCCACTTGTCATTCTAAATCAATTCTTCTTTCTTACAACATTAAATTCTATGCTATCAAATTTCACACAATATTATGTGACGTTTTTATTTTATTCTATTTCTCTACTAACCCTACAATTGCATACCCTTTTCCAAGTTCTATCCATCCTATGAATTATTCTATAAATGACATTAATTTGCCTTGCCACTTGATATTTAACTATGATTATAATCACAAACACTTTAGTTTTAGATGATATTACTTGGTTGGAGGCAATCGGCCGGAAGCCTTGGACCTAGGTTTCGTGCTAGTTGGCACTCGTCAGCAAGGCGTATCTGCAACCTTGAAGGAACCCATGTCCCTTCTGAGATTCGAACCCGCCTCACCCAGTGCCGCCTGCAGTCAGAGACGTTACCACTGAGCTATTCGGGCTCGCGATTGACCTCCTGTAGGACCGTAGTGGATATTTTGATTTGACACTAGTAACTAGTGTGATGCGTGATGGCGAGCTACCTAGAATGGTGGCCACATTACAACGTGACTGATAGAATTCAGTCTGCACCAAAGAGAGGACTAGACGCATCACACTAGTTACTAGTGTCGAATCAAAACATTTTATTTTTAATTGCATTTCATACTACTATTATTATTATTTTATGCATTCACACCTATGATTCAATTCCCTTACCGGATATAATTTCTTAAAAATAATAAAAATCACAATTTGACAAAGTAACGTAGAAACCAGTTGAGTTCATTCACTGTCAGGAAGGTCATGTAGACTATTAGAACATAAAACATTTACCTAGAACTAGAATAATTAACTCCGCTAAGTTAAATAACTTAGAAAAATGCTCAACACCTGGATTGCACTCACTTGCATGTCATCAAAAGATAAGGGGAGTGGGAGACAGGGCGAGTTTATTCAAAAGTTAGGTGGAGAGAGAGAGATTCATCACTGAATAATTGTTTATCAACCCAGAACCTTACAGATGCAATAAAAATGACTCCATGTCTATACCGTCGATATATGGAAAGTGGAGACAAACAACAAGGGGAAGAGACCGAGAGAGAGAAATACATGTGTAAAGCGAACCATGAGACCGTGTGACTAAGTGATATGATTATAGGCAGTGAATGCTGCTCGAAACTTTGTCATCCAGTTGTTAATACTGAATCATCACTGTGTGTTATATTCACAATAAACTTATCTAATATGGAATTATCATTCTGCCACAGTTCTACACTAACATCAATTTCTACTCCTTATGACACTGAAATTAACCTGACACTCTTTCAACTTAAGCTAAGATCTACTCAATCCTGGTAATTACTGGACGTCACTCAATTTCCTGATTAAATTTTATTCTATTCTAATAATAAAAAAAAACGAGTCAGATAAAACTCACAACTTAATAAACAACGTCTTCAACGACATCAAATTCACAAGTGAAGAGGAATCCGAGAACCAAATTCCATTGTGGACTCCTCAGTCAAGCGAACAACCACAGGGGAATTAGAAACTCAAGTTTATAGAAAATCACCTCACACAGATCAAATACTGAATTACAACAGCAAAAATCCAATAACACAAAAGGAATTGTATGCAAACACTATTCAAAAGGGCCAGGACTCATTGCAGCACTCCCACCTTAAGGAAAATCGAAGAAAGATATCTCACGGACGTCTTCCAAAAGAATGTATACCCACGGAATTTCGTCGAAAGACATATGCCGCCAAGCCAACCTATCAAACAAAAAGCCCCCAAGGAAAGCACAAAGAAAATCGCCTTGCCATATATAAAGGATATCTCAGAAATCACTGGAAGACTCGTCAAACCTTTAGGAATTGACGTCGTACACAAACGAACAAAATCACTTCACTCAGCTGGCTCCGTGTCAACCAAAAGACTCAACAGCGAAAGAAGATAAAACCAACATCATCTGCAGAATAAATTGTATCAACTGCGAAAAACACTACATTGGCCAAAGTGGACGTCCCCTTCGTCTTTGTATCCACGAACATAAGCTAGTCGACAAAAGACATGACATCCACTCTCACATATCACTACATACAGACAACCACGGACATCAATTCGACTGGGACCATCAGAGTTCAAATATTAAACAGAGGAAACACCAAGAACTAGAGAGAATTTTTAGAAGCCTGTCTTGTATTCCAGTGAATCATCAATCAATAGACACATCCAGATTGACAAAATTTATCAACCGATAAGAAAGGAAACTCACACACAAAGGGTTAAAGTTCAAGTCAAAGAAGCAATGAGTTCCAATTCAAGTAACCTAGGTGTGAAAACGCACAAGAACAATCAATCACGTCCAAGATCACCAGGAGAGATGATTAATAAACTCGTGGAGAAATCTAAAAGCTCACTTCAAATTGAAGTATGCGCTGAAGATGTCACCTTGTCGGGTGATGAAAGCTTCGCAAATAAACCATCCAACCAGCTCAGAGAACACAATCACATCAAAATCATCCACCTGAGCTACAAATCTTCTCCATCATATATATTCTAGTTTCTACTCGATTAATGCTTTATGCATTAATTATTCGTTATCTGAAACTGTCATGACTTTGTTTGTAGGGATTTGATTTGCTTTTCAAGTTTGATCACGGATTGATATCAGTTAGAGAACCATTGAAAACCAGTGAGAGAGTACTGAACAGCTATTTCCTCCTAGTCTCGGACTCACCAGCAGTACGCACCCACAATGCGCGGTCCGAAGTCAGGACGTTTCTGTTGCAAGGCAAGTTCGTAGGCCATTCATTCACTGAGACGTGACTCCTCAATGGCCAGTCCATGAATTCTAACTTCTACCAAACTGGGACGAAACACCTGTCCACTACTCTGTCACTGGTTTTCAACGGTTCTCTAACTGATATCAATCTGTAATCAAAATTGAAAAACACACCAAATCCCTACAAACTCATGAAAGTCAACTTGATGCTTGCTAGTGACTGACTGGCTACATGATGAAGTTGCCTGGAGTGAATTCTAATGAGAAGTCGTGACCAGTGGGGTTCACCCGATCAGAAGATACGACAAGTAATCGCCAGCAACGACAATGGCTGGCGCCAATTGCTCTCCTAAGATCACGAATTGATAGAAGTTGAAATTCATGAGTCAGATCTCAGTGGCTGAATCGTCCTCGAGTTTATCTGGAATATACAGTTCTAATGACGCTTGTTTGCAATGTACTTCACATATGTATGCTATTGAACAGCTACGATGAGAATGGCATCTCTGAATAGACTGACTCTACAGTGAAGGCCTCTACTTCGATAAAACATTCTCTTCACAAAGTGTTAGTCTTAACAATCTCTCCGCCTATATCTCTGGAGACAAATGGAGAACTCTGGCGATTACTGATGTGGAATCAAATCAATATTTAACAAAGAAAATAATCAATAAGCACACTTGATTACACAATCAAAGATGACCAGAATAAATTAGGATAAATAGCTTACCAGTTGTTTGCAAAACCACGAATACTAGCACTAAAGTTGCACAACACAGTTTCATTTTGAAGGTATCAATTCGGATATAGAAATGTGTTTTATTGTCAAGTATTTATATACTAATTTTATTGTCTTTATTTTCACACACACACACGTAATGTATGAAATGTGTCTGGTTTGTTTTAATGACAACGTGGCATTCTATCCGTAGACATATTGAAACTCTTTCTGTTTGTATCGTATTGTCGTCTTCTTTGACCTTAGTCTGTTTAATTAGGAAGAGTGCGTGTGGTCTGTGTGAACATCACACGTTCAAGTTCTAAATTTATCACGAGAAAGGAAGCTTTAGGAATTCTTTCTCTAAATGATGAAATGGCTTTCAGTGGTTGACTTTAAGAGACTGCCTGATCATTGCGTTCACTTGTGTAAGTATCCAACTACTACTTATATCAATCAGTCAGTAGTATATAATACCGTGCATTTATGATTGTTTTCTTGATCATCATTTGTGGTATCAAAAATGTCAAATACTGTGACTTCAACGATTTCACTGTAAAGGCGTTTCACCGGGAACTGTATTACAATCAATATTTTTCCCTCAGGGTTCCGAGTGGAACATAGATATTCGCTAGAAACTACTAGAAACTACTCGAGTACTACGGCGTACTCCAAATATTCGTCAACCTTATTCAACAGCCGTACTACAATGGCACATGTCAAGTGATCCACAACGGAAAACTCAGCGAAGCGTTTGGAGTAAACACAGGAGTCAGACAAGGGTGCTTATTATCACCAATGATATTGATTCCTAATTGTGGTGGACTGGATTATGCGTCAGACAGTGGGAAACAAGGAGACAGGGATATCCTGGACCGACGTGAAGAACCTAGAAGACCTAGATTTCGCAGGTGATTTATGTTTGATGTCACACAAAATCGAATACTTACAAGCGAAAACCGACAAACTGGTTGAAGAAGCAGCCAGAGAAGACGGGACTCCAGGTGAACATAGACAAGACGGAGGTTATGAAAATAACCAACCAACAACAACAACAGCAGCAACAACATCCAGCTCCAATCACGACCAACGAGAGGGATTTGAAAGAGGTGGCTAGTCGCTCAGCATCAACAACAAAATTCGGATTTTCAATACAAACGTCAAGTTAGTCAGTTCTTCTATACGGATGGATCAGAAACTTGGCGGCGGGTCACAAAGAATATTTGCAACAGCCTGTTGCACACCTTTATCAACAACTGTCTTCACTCTATATTCAAGATCAGATGGCCGGAAAGAACAAGAACCAACAAGAAACTATGGGAACAAACAAAACAAGAACCAATCGCTCAACAAATAAGCAGGAGAAAGTGGAGATGGATTGGACACTCGGTGAGGAGGCCGTTGTGTGACATCGCGTGTCAGGCCAGTGCTCCAGTGGAACCCGAAATGGAGGCGGCGAGTGGGACGTCAGTGCAAGGGTGACATGGAGGAGATCGCGTGAAGAAGAGTTGAATCAGTATGGACTAACATGGATGCAGGTGGAAAGTACAGGAGAAGACAGAAGCAAGTGGAGACGTGCAGTTGAAGCGCTATGTTCCACTAGGAATCCAAGGGAACAATAATAATAATAACAGAACGTCTTCACTTTATCCTATTTTCTGAGGTCTCCCTTACCTGGCCCCATGATTGCCCATCAGCTCTCATCTCCCCCTTGCACGTTCTCCACCATGTCACCCTCAGACATAGGCTCAACTCACCGTTTCTCATTCACGTTCCACTGGAAAGTTTGCCTGGCACGCGATGTCTTTCGGCAGTTTCTTCAGTGTGCGCACAATCCATCTCCAGTTTCTTTCACAAATTTGTACAGCGAAAGGTCCTTGGTTGATTAGTTAGTTCCCAGAGTCTTTTGCTGTTAATTCTTTCTGGCCGAATATTTGATCTTCAGTATGGAGTCAGAGAAGACAGTTGTTGATAAAAGTCTGCAGTGGCGTGTTGGAAATGCCTTTCGTGACGTGTTCATCAAGTTTCTGACCGATATACAAGAACTGACTGAATGACTTAACATTTGTTCAGAAGGTCAGAATTTCTCTCTTTATGCCGACCATGTAAAGAAGACTTCCATGCTGACTTCAGAGGTATGAAGGTGCACACTGCTCTTCCGATTCTGGCTGACTTTGACATCTTCATCCGTTCCGACTGCATGTAGTTGAAACGAGGCTTCCTAGACAAATGAAGGAAGTAAGCTCTTTCAAATTTCTCCGGTTGATAGTTATTGCTGCTGGTTGTTGTTGCTGTTAGCCTATTGCAAATCGGGTTCAATGTGTCGCCAGTTCCTACAAGTATCTAGTCAGAATTCGCGTTGTTTCCACCGATCCGACTCTCTGAACTGAGTTAAACTGGGCACACACTTGATGAGCTAGGTTCCAAATCAATGAAGGTGGCGTCTTGTGTTTAGATCACTTCTATGTGGCTAGTTAGCTAACCAGCATCTCTGAGTGATGTAGAGGGTATCCGACTACTTATAATATCAATCAGTCAGTAGTATATAGTTCACCTTGACCAATTTATTTTATCATTAACGATGTACAACCTTTTAATCCTAGTACAGTGTACTATAAAAGTATAATTTGCTGGCAGAATAAGCAGCGATCGCAAAATAAAGACAGTTGCCTTATACTAAAATTTCTTTTGCACAAGTTACTTATATTCCACTTTTTGCAAACCTCCTTTCATACTTTTCGAATTGTTTCACAAGCGAGTTCCATTTTTCATATTACTGATGACAGTAATCAGTTACTCTACTGTTGTTCATGATTCTCGTAGAAGACATCACTTACAATATGCTACTTGTAAATTATTTATTTATTTATTTATTTTGATTACAGCTTGATGCCACACGTTAATCTCTCCTAGTCTACAAGCTGGTAATAGAGGCGTTGAACTAGCCAACGTGCCCGGGGAAATCAAACCAGCCGCTCTCGAAAACTTCAACACATGGAAAAATAACAGAAACAAAATTTCTTCTCCCCATAATAAAATAGATAAAGTGACGTAGGCTAGTGAGAGCATTCAAGGGGCCAGTCAATTGATATGTCTTCCTTCGATGAAAGAAAAAACAAGTATGAACACACCGAATGTCTACAAAATGTTCGAAGCTGGCAAGACTGTACAGGTAGCCAAAGAAGTGCGAAGATTTGGCATAGAATTGCTCCGGATGTGTGAGAGCAGGTGTAATCGACGTGAAGAAGGAAGATTTCTATAGATATTTGCAAACAGTCATGGACAACACCCCCAAATGGACACATCAAAATCTCTATGGGCGAAACGATTAACAGCTAAACTGTGAGTACACAATATAGGAAGAGAATTCATCATGGGTGGAGAGGCTGTCGGTGGAATGACGAATAAGAACGGAAAACTCTTTACAGACTTCTGTGCCTTCAACCGGTAGGCGATGGCAGGCAGCGTGTTTAGGCACAAGAATGTACACAAAGCGACATAAGTTTCACCAAATGAATACACTTAAATTCAGAAAGATGTAACCTCAACCTCAAGAAAGGGGATATGCAGTCCTCTGAATACAAATTCGAGAAAGGGAATAAATGTAGCTCCAGACCATTATCTGCTTCAAATAACCTTCAAAGTAAAGTCTAAAGCTTTCAGAGCAGCTCCAGATTGACCTTATTCGAAGTTTAACCTCATAGAACACTCACTGCAACCATCAGAGCAAAGTCGGAGGTATTATGTAGCGTCAACGAGAACATCTGTGTGTGAGAACCCTAGAAACTTATGAAAGTGATGTTTAAGGAAACGTGTGTAACCGTTTTGGGAGGAAAGAAGAGAAAAGATAATGAAATGTCTCTCTATGGCCACTTGTAAATTAACATAGGATAGTGGAAAGGTGGATCAGAAGGTGAACTATTACAGAGATGGATAACAGAAGGAGACGCTGAGACCAGTCTACAGAGCAGTCAATAAGAAAGTGAGAAACAGTGCTAGGAAAGACGTGAGATGATTTTACGACACACTGGAAACTGAAGCAGAACAGACTAAAGTTAAGAGCTAATTGACTTCATTATGTCGGCTAAACAGTTCGCTAGCTGAGAAGAGATCAATGCATATGAGTCCAATTAACTGTAGTGAAGGGGAACTAGTTTCCAAACCTGGGAAGAAAATGAAACAGTTGGCTGATCACTTCAAAAGACTGTTCACCCCCGACCACCACCTGTAACTCGTCCACAAATACAACTGACAGCGGGCACAGAACTACCTCCCAGTAGACACCAGTCCACCAACAAAAGCGGAAATCTTGAATGCAGTCAAGCTACTGAAGTCCGGGAAGGCAGCAGGGCCAATTGGAAATGACCCGAAGCATTGAAAACAAATCCATGGTCTGCAGCAGATGGGTTCTCACCACCAATGCAAAAGATTGGAAGGAAAGAAAGGCCTCTACTAACTGGAACACGGACTGTCTTGTCAAACTTCCAAAAAGGACGACATATTCTTCTGTAAGAACTGCTGTGGAATTATTCGCCTGTTCACACCAATCAAAATACTAAGTCACATCATATTGCAAGGAGTAAGAAATGAACCTAATGCAGAACTCCGCCCCACCCACCAGGACAAGCTGGATCCAAGAAAGGCAAATCATGTGCTGATCAACTTGATACTCTACGCATAATCATCGTCAAATCTCTCTCTAACTCAACTCCATTGACTAACCAGAAGTGGTATTCGACAGCGCTGACCGTCAGGAAATTTGGAGGCTATTTCAACACTGTGGCGTACAGTGCCCAAATGCTTACCAACCTCATTCAACAGTCTCAGGCGATCCACAATGAAAACTCAACGAGGCGTTTGAAGTGAAGACAGAAGTAGTACAGCGTGGCAGCACATTATCACTGACGATATTCCTAATTGTGGTGAGCTCATTCATGCAACAGCCCATGGAGAAGCTAACAGAGAGACTTTCGTTGGATCAGCTTAAAGACTTAAGGCAATCTGAACTTCACAGACGACTTATGTCTGATGTCACATGAATTCGAAGACCTACAGGTGGAAAATAAC